GCCTGGGTGCTGTTGCACTTATCCAGGTCGCGCTGCACCTTCTGGACGAGGACCTGCAGCCCTTGCTTCTCCTTGAGGGTGGCGTTGAGGGTGCGCGTCAGGTTGAGGTTCCTCCCGCCGAGGGTGATGATCTTGTTGTAGCGATCCTGCAGCTGCTCCTCCAGCAGCCGGAGGTGCGTGTCGGTGCCCGCCTGCGCGTTGCCGTACACCATGAACAGCACCAGCCCCAGGATGATGAGGAATTGGATGAGGGAGGTGAAGAGGAAGATGTACTTCACGTAAAATCCGCAGTCCCGCTTGGGCAGCGCCTCCTTGGCCTCCAAACCAAACTTGGCCATGGTGTAGCTGCTCTTCTCCATCCCGCCGACGCTCAAAACGCCCCGCGGCGGCGGCCCCTTTCAATGGGGCCACGCCGGGGCGGAGCTCGCTCCCACCGTTGTGTTTATATTGCTCTATCTAATATTTCCTTCTGCTGGGCTCCTTCCTGCCTCTCCGGATGCCTCGGACCCGCTAGGTTATCACGATGCAGCTTCTGTTTTGCAGGAGGGCTAGAGTTCCTCGTTGATAACAGATGGGGGTGAAATCTGCCAACCCTGCTCCTCCTCCTCACGCCAGGGCCCGACGCTCCCCTGGCACCCCCTGGCACCCCGAAATAGCCCCTGGCAGACTGGGCACTGGGGGTGCCCAGGGAAGGGGTCCCTGGGGGCAAGCAGGGTGGGCTGCGGCTGCCGGCGCTGGCTGGTGGGGTGAGAGAGGAGGATCTGCTGCACCAGGCGCCCTGGCTTGGTCCTGGCACCGTGTCCCTGTGGGGGGACAGTGTCACGCGAGTGTCACCGCCGGAGCCCGCCGGGTCAGCGGCGTGCAGGGACTGATGCTCCAGATCCGCTCTCCTGCGCTTTGCGGGCGGGGGAAGGATGCGGCCAGGCCCTGGCTTGCAGGTAGGGTGGTCAGTCGGCTGGGGGGGGGGGGGCAAAAGCCACCCGTGGGAACCTGCAGCTGTGGCACCCATGGGTGCTGTCACCCCGCAGAGCCACCATCCTGCCACAGGGCCTGGGGAGCCGCTCCTGGGCTCTGTCCCCCAGCAGGGACATCTCTGCTGGGCAGAGAGCAGCCGGTGGAGGGGAGCAAGGGGCAAATCCAGACCCCTCTCTGCGGGACCACGGGGTCCCCGGCTGCTGAGGAAGCCCTGGGCTGAGCATGTGGAGCGCGGGTGGCCCTGGCCCCACGCAGGGACAGCCACCCATGCCAGTGTCACTGCCACGGTGGCTCAGCCGGGCATGGATGGAAAGAGCTGGGGGTTTGCAGCCATCGCCCCCATCCCGCTCCAGGTCTGGGGTCCCCTGAGCCCCACTGGGCTGAGAGGGGGGCTGGGGGGCGAGGGCTGGCTTGGGGACAAGCTGGGGACACGGAGGGGGCTCCTTGGCACAGGGAAAAGGGGTGACGTGGGGTGCGGGCAGCACCACAGCGG